AAGTGTGGACGTTTCTGTTAAAGACGTTTACCAAAATGCTTATTAACAAAACTAGGTTTCAATTACAGGTGGTAATTATTGAAAAATTATTTGAGGATTTCCTGTGGCATGATAGCTAAATACAGTATTTCCAGCATCTGTATATCCCTTGATTCATTATGATTAATAGCAGCTAACATTTCTAGTTTACTAAATATACACCAGGGGTATTATCTCATTTTAACCCTTGCAACAGTCCTTTGAGGCAGATCCTCTTAACTGCATTTTACAATTTGGATGCTTAGAAAGGGGGTAAATAGCTTGCCAAGGATTCATGGCTAGCCAGTGGCAGACTTCCTCCAGAGCCAGCATGATGGTAGAGGAGTAAGAGACATAGGAAGTGAGGATTTAGAAACAGCATTCAAAGCAAAGATTCCTGGAATTCAGAACTGTCATGTTTTAGGTCTCTCATTTTCCAGTAACATCTCTGCAAGCATAGTTATTCACCTTTGTGCCATATCGGGACTTGGGGGCTGTTTTCACTTACAGATGAAAGCTCATTTGCTTTGAGTACCATTTGGTTAACTTTTTTTTTTTTTTTTTAAACTTCACTGTGTTGTGGCCTTTACCCAAGGATGGTAGATAGTGATTAAAATTTTGACTTTTTAGCAAGAGGAGGAAAATAGCTTTCTGAGAGAGGAAAATGAAATTTGTAAGTTTCAAATATTGCAGCAAGGTAATTCTTGTTTGACTTTGAAATCCTTTCCATACAAAAAAGAAAAAAGCATCCGTGAAGTGCTCCCCTTCGTGCCATTGGCACGATTTAATACTCCCGTTTTGGAAGCTTCTCCCTGTGTGGTTGGGCTTTTAGAGCTACATTTCACAATTTCTTTTTAAATGGCCTTAATACTTCTCCCTCATGTGTCCCTCTCCCCATCTAAAAGCACCAGCTCCGAGTGAACGTGTCCAACGCAGTGCTGCCCAGCGACTTTCGAGAGGTGCTCCAGCGGCGACTGGGGGAGCTGGAGAGGCAGCTACTGAGCAAAGTGGCGGAGCTGGAGGATGAGAAGTCCCTGCTCCACAATGAGACCTCGGCTCACCGGCAGAAGACCGAGACTGCCCTGAACGCTCTGCTGCAGAGGGTGACTGAGCTGGAGCGAGGTGAGTTCTTGGCTAGCTTCTCTGTCGCCCTCTGGCTGACATCCCTCTCAGCCCCCCCACCCACCCCATTGTCTTGGTGTTTGGCTGCAGTGTAAGGGAAGCTGCGCTCAGAGCAGGCAGAGGGGGGCTGGCCCACAGCCACCCACTTACATACAGGCAATCACTAGGGCCCTTGAGGGAGTGGTGACCTCTGCTTGCTGACTCTCAGCACCGGCCTCTGCTCCCTGTTTGCTGGGATCGGCTCTGAGGCTGCTCTTGGGTCATCTCCGAACCTACCTGTCCTATGTGCAGAAAACCACAGCACTCTTTACCAATCCCCAGCTCTCCGCTTTCCCTTCTCTGTTTCTCAAATGAAGTGTTGCTCTTTCAACTTGAGGCATCTCTCATGGTGCACAGGGGTTTAGGGTTTCTGCCTGACAGTTGCCCAACTTAACGGCCTTGTTGATACATTTTCTGACCTAGTGGAGACAGAAGGGGCCGATTGCTGCTGGGAGCAGCCTGGTTTCCATCCCTTGCAGATACCCCCCGGGGTGTCTGCAGTGCCTGACCCTGCATGGAGATAGCTCGTGGCTGTTTGAGCAAATGATAAGCGTGATTGAGGATGGTTGTCTCAGGAATTAGCCCCAACCCCAGCCCCCTGGTGTTATCCATGGGAAAGCCAGTGCCCTCAGGACCAGCTTGGACAAACCACCTAACCCCGTCCTTCTGCCATGTGGGCATTTCAGCCACTTCTTAACTCATCCTTCGGTGGATTCTGAGTATCTTTCTCTTCTCGGCTCACACTGTGGTGGGTAAGTTTCTCCCATGGGGCACAGGAAGGGAAGGGATCTAGGGCCCTAAGTGATTGAGGCCCAAACTGCCAGGGGGCCTGAGAGTGAAGTTTAAGTTTGCCGATAGTGGAGATGAGATTGTAATCTTCTGAAATGCACCAGCCTGACAAAGACAGTTTCTCATTACTCCATTTCATGAACTGATAGGAGTACATCCAGTTATGCCTTTAGTGACACCTGTGGGGGCGGGCCAGATGATCAAGGGGATGGTGTCTCTGTTCCATTTTACAGCACCTCCCCAGAAGTCACAGGTCTCCTTCATCACTCTCTGTTTTCTTCCTTATCCTTCTCTGTATGGGGTGGGTGACTTACCCGTTAGACTTGGATTCTGGAGTTTCTGAAAGAATGTCCTCTGCCTCACCTCTGCTGGGTGACCTCAGGAAGCTCCTTAGGTCTCAAGAGCCTTCCCTGAAGGCAGAGCAGCTGCAGCCTTTCTTGCGGATAGGAGGACAGAAAGGCAGCATTAGGTCCAAGGTGAAGGTGGCTTGCCTTCCCTTTCCCCAGCCTCACCCACAGTGGAACCTGGGGACACCACAGTCACTTAGTATCTCGAAGGGGGTAGCTGTAGCACGAAAAGAGAGCTCCACCAGAGACCTTGGTGGCTGAGTCTTGCTTGGCTCGGTGGCTGAATTGCTACAAGGATGTAGGTTAATAGAAGCCTGTTGGGTTAGTGTGTGCTGAGCCCATCACCCCTGTGAGATAGGACTTCTCTTATACCCATTACACAGATGAGAAAAGTGCCCTGAAGCTTTCGGCCAGAGGTGTGTCATTTGGGGAGAGGGGACTGAGGTGGGATCTGGGCCACCAGCTGGTGAGCAGCAACAACATGGCTTTGACCGCCCAGGAGCTGCCACTTTGTGACTGTCCCTCGCATCCCCAGCCTGATTCCAGCACCCATGCTCTTGATACCTAGGTTTTACAGGAAGCCCTCAGAGCTCATCTGGCACAGAAAGGTGGTGTCCATGTCCTAGTTAGCGCTGCGTTCCGCAGGGCAGGGGCCCCTGACTGGCCTTCTTGTAGAGCCCCCAGGACCTGGTACTGACCCACCAGGAGAACTCTAGAATCCTTCTCTGTGCTCCACCCAGCTCTGGTATGAGTCTTGGAGGAAAATGATCGTTTGCCAACCAGTTTGTCTTCCGGCTAATTCTGAGTTTCTATCTGTCCTATTTGTGATAAGAATAAAGGGATATATAAACTCCCAGCCCCCAAGTAGACCATGAGTGGAAAATATACTCTGTTCCTCAAAGCATCCTGTTGAGCCTGGAGGAAATGGACCTCAAGCATACGCAAAGTAGGGGGCTTTGGGGACTCTGGCCCTCAGTCCATCATCTCCTGCCCGTTATGGGCCTGTTCTGGGCCAAACACCAGGCTGTGACTTCCACATTCTGTGTCTTCTGTAACCCTTGCAACAACTGTGTGAGGTAGGCATTAGTTATAGATGAGGGACTGACTGAGTCAGAGAGCTAAGTGCATTCACGGGTCCAGCAGGTTGCAGAGCTGGGGTTGAACTTGGTGGTGACCCCAGAGGACAAGAGCCTGGAGCAGTGTGTGGGCTCCAGCCCCACTGAGCAGGAGGCTCCCCAGAGCCCAGGGGTGAGCATCCAACGCTGCATGCACATGCTCGTGCTGCCTGATCCCACGGATGCTTGTTTTCTCTGTCGTGGGATCTGCTCGTCTGCAGGGGCCTCTAGGTTCTGGGCCAGCCGGCCAGGCACAGCCCACCTTGGAGGTGAAGTAAACATTGCCACTGAGAAGACAGAGCCCATCTCTCCTTGGCCCCAGCTGCCCCCCATTTTCACTTGTCTGCCACCTGCAGCCTCTGATTTATTGGTCAGGCCTTTTAATGCCTTAATTGGTTTCAATGAAGTTTCCTCTAAACCTCCAAGCTGTTTGATATAAATAGAGGGCACCAGCTTTTGGGGTGTGGGCCCCTCCTCTGCCCTTTGGCTCTCCCAGGTCTAATTAAACCTATCTGTTGTCACCTAGCTAATGATATTACCGACACCGAGCCTTATTAAATCAGCAGGCCTGCCCACCTGCAAGGATAGAAGCCATTTCTCTTTATTAGCTAATCATGCCTTGTGAAGAACACGGCCATTTGCAGATTAAGGACTAGTGGCTGCACGTAGTTGAGCGAGGGACTTCCGCTCCCTGCTCTGTCCTTCATTAGCTGTGTGACCTGGGGTAAGTCCCCTCGCTCCTCCAAGACTCAGTGCCTCAACTGCACAACCCGCAGAATCGGGAGGTGGGGCTTCCTAACCTCAGTTTTGCTTCAGCCTAACGCAGGCTCAGTCCCAGCCTGTACCCGGCCTGGCCCCCCTCGGCTTCCCCGGGTGACCAAGTCTTCCCAACCCCCGCCGGGTACTCAGCGGCTCCGCAGACCGGGAGCTCGGGATGGACTGGGCAAGACTGCACAAGCCGCAGATTCAAGTAAATAGTACTGTGAAGCCCAGAGGCTAGTCTTTCTCTGCTGCCTGTTCTAGACAGGTTGAAAGGGTGATGCTGGGCCCTGTTGCTTTTCTTTGCAGGTCTTCCATGGGTGGGGGTGAACCATGGCCCCAAAGAGCTTCTCTCACGTGTTATTTTCTATGAAAGCAAAGGAGTTTGGGAGATTGCAGGGGAGAAAGGCTCATCTGTTCTGACTTCTGTTCTGTAGAAGGGGCTGATTCATGCACTCGAGACCCAGGCAGTTTGGCTCCATTGGTTCTGGGTCCAGAGAGCCTGCCTGTTTTTCACGGTGACCGAGTCCATCTGGCCCTTCGTGGATACCTAATAAATACTTGTTGAATGAGTGAAGGGTGTTTAGGCTCCTTCACCAGAAGCATCTAGTCCCCAAATAAGAGGGAAGTTTCTGCCATGACAGCTCACAGAATCGGATGGGACCCTGCAAACTTCAGAATCTGTGATAACTCGAGACGGGGACTTGCTTTTTGTGTGTTTATTTTTATTGTTAATTTTGAGCTTAAATCAAAACTATTAGAAATTATTTAGACCCATTTAAGAGTACCAGTGGCTTTCAAAGATTTTGGAAGCACCATTTACATGAGGACAGTCGGGGTTCTCATCAGTCCCAGGCGGGCCCCAAGGGCTCAAGGCTCTGGCCAGGGCGTTAACCTCAGCGGGGAGGGACACCTCTGTATTTCTCTGCCTCTGACTGGCGCCAAACCACAGGAAATGGTCGACAGATGCAATCTTCTCTCTAGGAGGAAAGGGTGAATCATGAGCAAAGTGGTTCATGTGAGGGATTTAGTCCAAAAAGCCACTTCTGAGTTAAGCTGTCGTGTCCAGTCACTAACGTGGACTCCTTTGCTTGGGTGCAGGGATTCTGTAGGGTGAGAAGTGAGGGGCTTACTGGCTTGACGAGTGTCTATCGAGTGCCCAGGTCCCTGTTAGGACTTCCTGCCTCTAAGCCCAAGTCCAGCAGGGCCCTGACCCCGCCCTTGCTGAAGGAGCTGAAGAGGTCAGGATTTCAAGAAAAGAGCTGAAGAAGGGTTTTCTGGCTTAATTTAACCGGAAAATTAAATCCAGCTTGTCCCTACCCGCTTCCTCAAGCTTTCAAGAGCAAGGCCGCTCTTGTTTACTCCTGGGCTGGTAGCACTTTGCACCACGGCCTCCTGGTAGCGGGTGCTCTGTTGCTTGAAGGACCAACATGGGGGAAGTTGGGGTCCGGGTGAGCCGTGGCTGTGGGCTATGCTGGCGGGAAGTAGGCTCACGCAGCGCCACCTCTCTTCTCCACCCCCCAGGCAACAGCGCGTTCAAGTCTCCCGATGCGTTCAAAGTGTCCCTCCCGCTCCGCACAAACTACCTGTATGGCAAGATCAAGAAGACACTGCCTGAACTCTACGCCTTCACCATCTGCCTGTGGCTGCGATCCAGCGCCTTGCCGGGCATCGGCACCCCGTTCTCTTACGCGGTGCCCGGGCAGGCCAACGAGATCGTGCTGATAGAGTGGGGCAACAACCCCATCGAGCTGCTCATCAACGACAAGGTGAGGCCTGCTTGGACACCACCTGCCCCCATCACGGCAGCCGCGTCTGGCAGCCAGCCTCCTCGGCGGGCTCTCCTGCAGGGCTCTCCTCCTCGCAGTGGGGACAGCTCTGCACTGACTCAGCCCCGCTCTGGCCGGCTGTCTGGGTGGGGGGCAGGGGCAGGCAGCCGTGGCTGGTGGAGATCCGAGCTGTGAGTCTGGCCTAGAAGGGGCACAGGCTCCAAGCCAGACAGTGTGGAAGGAACAGAGCTGGGGTCTCTGTGGGCCAGCCTGAATGGTCACAGGCCCTGGGCCGATGAGTGAGGGCTGTTCCCCAGGGCCATACTGATTAGGGGAGGTGGTATGTGTATGTCTCTCTGTGTAGGATATTTATCAGCCTATCTTTTGGGGGTGGTCTATTGAGATACAGTTTACAGTAAAACTTACAGTTTTCAGTCAACAGTCCGACAAGTTTTGACAAATGTCTGAGGTTGTGTGACTACCACAATTGAAATATGGAAATGTTTCATTTCTTCCCTCCTCCCTCCTCCCCTCCTCCCCCCACCAAATCCCCTTTGTGGTCTGCTCTTGCCCCTACGCCAGCCCATGACAACCACTGATCTGTTCTCTGTCCCTACAGTCTTGCTTTTTCCAGAGTAAATATCCCTTTTTAATACACTGGCTGGTTTCGACATTCAAGAGCGGATCTTCTCAAGAACTCCGCTCTGGGCATCTGCGGGACCTCCAGGAACCCCACTTAAACTTCCATTCTGAAGTCAGACTCAACATAGCCAAAGAATTGCGTCCTCACGTCCTTGCTGGAGCTGAGCGTTCGAGTGACTGTTCCAGCTCCCTGTTGCCTCTGCCCTGGCCCCTTACTCTGACGTTACTGAACCATCCTGGGGGGAGTTTGTTTAAGTGGCAAATGCTGTGGAATCTCCCCGCTGGGCTCCTTTTGGAGGTGACCATGTCCCTGAGCAGGGATTAATTGTTCTAAATAACGCCCTTGGACACAGCAGGGCCCAGAACCTTGTTTACCTCTTGGGTCAGGTGGCACGTAAACAGCCAATTCCTGGGAGGAAGCAGCGGGTTGCTAGGATACCAGCAGTAACAACAGGATGGTACCTGGTTGGGCTGGTCTGTAGTGCTCACGGGACTACGGGCAGAACAATGTGGGTCAAAATGACCTTCCTCCGTTTCCATATGGGGGGGTCCCTGTCTGCACCCCCCAGCACACACTCCCACATAATTGTAGGCCTTTGGTCTTCTGCACAGGAGTACACACACACACACACACACACACAGTCCCCAAGTGCCATGATAGAATTTGAGCCCCTGCCTAGAGTGTAGATGCCTGGTCTGACTGTTTTCCAAAGAAGCTGGCCCAGTAGAACCCTGACTTCCCTTCAGGCTCTCCGGCATGAGGCATTCAGGTCCAGGCATGGCAGGGAGGGGGCTTGTCCTTCACTTCATATCTTCTCAGTCTGCACAGCATCCTAGACCCTCAGCCAAACCTGGGACCAAGGGTATCCCCTTGAAAGCCGGGCCACCCTGGGGTTAGGGGCTTGTACCCAGGCTGCCTGCCCCTTTCCTCTTGGCTGTCTGTGTCACACAGTGTCTCCCCCCACCCCAGGCGTTCTGAGGGGCAGAGTTGCCCATGTTACCCACAGTGCAGAGAAGGGGAGATGAGCCGGGACCCTGCATGATGGGAGCAGCAGGACCTCCAGTCCCTCTGCAGGTCAGACTTCTGGAAACCCTGCGGGGACCCTCACCTGCATGTTGCTGTCCACAGGTTGCCCAGCTGCCCCTGTTTGTCAGTGACGGCAAGTGGCACCATATCTGTATCACTTGGACGACGCGGGATGGCATGTGGGAAGCTTTCCAGGATGGGGAGAAACTCGGAACTGGGGAAAACCTGGCCCCCTGGCACCCCATCAAGCCAGGGGGTGTGCTGATCCTTGGGCAGGAACAGGTGAGTGCAGGAGGTGCAAGAGGGGAGCGCGCTGGCCAGCCGAGCAGCACAAGGCCACACTTGCAGGCTGCCCCTGGGGCCCCCGGGGCCCCTGGCCAGCTGTCTGCCTGCCAGACCTGGCCACTGAGGCCTGACAGCAAGCTCGCCCCACGCTGTCTTGTGGCCTGAGGGGCAGAGGGCGGTCGACCAAGTTGGTGTGATGGGTCAGATAGATTCCAGAATGGAGTCCAACACAGGTGATCAGGAGTGTCCCTGGGGTCATGTTATCAGGAAGGGACTTCGGGTTCTCTCCAGGTGTTTGGGCTCTGCCAGGCACAGCTTTGATTCAGGATGCCAAGGGCTGACATGGCATCTTCCAGGAGCTGCTGGCTCAGTGTTTTGGGGCACTTAGGGCATGCCTGTGGGGCGCTTAGCCTCCTGAGGGAGATGGGGGTGAGAAAGTGACTTCAGAAGCTGCCCTCAAGAAACTCACCCTCTGGGAGAGGGGAAATATAAGTTGCTTGTCTGCTCCTGGGCAGATAAGAGTTGATGTTTCAGCCTATGTCTGAGGTTTGCTGACGGCCCATTCCTCCCCTCACTTCCTTGGGAGAGGCTGGGAGTCTGGAGACCTGGATCTAGTTCTAGCTTTGGGACTTTGGGCAAATGTCTTTCCACTCTAGTCTCGAGGTGGTTTCACATGCCCTGGAGCTCCGGGATGTGCACGAATCAGGGGTCAGGGGGTGTGGCCAGAGTTGGAGGGAGTTGGGAAAATGGCCCAGTCTCCCCATCTCCCTCCCAAGTTGGCATCCCTTCCCGAAGGCCGTTCACGGTCCAGGAGAATTAGCGGGTGTGTCTGCTTTTTGAACCTGCGCCGATGTGGTTCTGCTCCCCTGCACCTTCCCAGGACACTGTTGGGGGCAGGTTCGATGCCACGCAGGCATTCGTGGGGGAGCTCAGCCAGTTCAACATATGGGACCGCGTCCTTCGTGCGCAAGAAATTATCAACATTGCCAACTGCTCCACGAACATGCCCGGCAACATCATACCCTGGGTGGACAACAACGTCGATGTGTTTGGAGGGGCTTCAAAGTGGCCCGTGGAGACCTGTGAGGAGCGTCTCCTTGACTTGTAGCTGCCTCCTGCTCTGTCTAGGAGGCCAGGGCTGGGCTGTTCCTGTCGGAAGTGCAAGGCCACCTCCTCCCCCAGCTAAACTGTGTAAAAGCCCCTGCCAGAATGGGCTGGGGCCCCCAAAGCTCATTCCCAGGGACTCTTGGAAGGCCGAGGCTCTGTAGCAGCCCGTGTCACTAGATTCTTTGTTCTTTACCAGTATTGTGTTGTTTTGAGGGGGGAAGAAGCCCTGAGCTTGCAGGTGGGCAAATCTGACTTCCTGCTGCGGACGGGGGGATTAAGGCCCTTGAGGCCCCGTGCAGAGCCCCTGTAATTGCTAGCACACCGCAGCCTTGCCCACCCTCTTGGATCCTCGATGTCCCGTGTGCACCTTCTGTCTGTCCCCTTGAAAGGCTGTGCGGCCATCCTGCTGGAGTATCTGTGTCCCTTGTGTATTGAGTATACCCTGCTGTCCCCTGAGCACGCAGCAAAGCAGCCCCCGCCGCTCACAGAAGGGCCTTTCTCTTGGTGTTCTTTACTATGCTCTGAGGAACTCTTCAGCTCGAGGAGGGGGGCAGGCTGCCCAGACCACACCCTGCCTTCTCCAAGATGGAGGGGGCATCCGAGCCTCCAGAGGGGGCTGGGAGCGGGACCGCAGAAGGGAGTTCTGGAGGAGGGCTGTGGCAGCTGAGCCTCCCCCTCTGTCACCTCTCCCTCCGATCGATGCTTTGATGGACTCGTCGCTGGAAATGGCTTCTTTGCAAAGCCTCCTTTCTCCACTGGTGCCAAAAGTTCAGTTGCAGCTTCTCCAACCATTTGGTATGGTCAGGGGGGATTGATTTTTTCCCAACAGAGAAGAACAGCCATTAGCAGCCTTCCATTTTTGATGTCTCGCCCCCCTGTGAGGAATGTGCTAGTTTTAATCCATGTTGATTACTGTAAGCGTTTGACTGTCTCAAGTATTTCCCCCAGAACTTTTTCAGGAAATGGAAGTCATTTGGCTGATATTTGCTCAGTGACTCCAGGTTGCTTAATTTATTGGACAGAGGTAGTAACTTATTTTAAGGAGAGTGATGAAGTGGGGAAATTTATAAAGCTAAATATTATATATTTTATTTTTCATACATGTTTGAAGTGCAAATCTGTGGAAATTCCATTTGTAGGACCAAGTTGACATGCCCATCCTAACACTGTATGCTACAAGAACTCTTATGATGACGGAATTTTGATTAAAGTGCCCTGGAAGATGCCTCCGTATCTGTTTGCTCCCTGTCTGGGGCTGAGGGTAGGGGGGTGGGGCTTTGCCACAGTCCATGAGTCTGGGGCCTGTGTCTGGCAGACCCAGGGACACCGAAATGCTTGGAGGTAGGGGGGCAGTCTCCAGCCGGCCCCTGTCTTCTCAACTAGGACTCAAACTCACGTAGATGACACTCAACTCCTTGTCCCAGGCGTGACACCTGTTGGCCACCTACTCTGTGTTCTACCGTATGTCTCCTTCACTCCTCCTAACAACCCCGTGAAAGTGAATCCCGATTTGCAGGTGAATGCATAGAACAATTAGACAGTGACTTGGATCACGTGACTAGTTAAGGGCAGAGCTGGGGTCAAGCCGGCCTATGGCTCTGGAGGCCCTGCCCTGTTGTGATTTCCCTCATGATTGTGATCGCATGGCTGACTTGGAGCTGTGGCTCACTGCCACTGCCCAGCATCCCCAGTGTCGTACCGCATATCACTCACCCAGGAAAAATCAAACTTCAAAACTCAAACTAAGTTCTACTGAATATGTGTTGCTTTCACACCACCACGAAGTCAAAAAATTGTAAGTCAAGCCACTGTAAGCCGGGGACCATCTGTACGCTAAAAACTACAGAACGTTATTATTTTTTCTTTTTCTTTTTTTATATCTAGAACATTATATAGAGAAATTAAAGAGGACCTAAATAAATGGAAATATATCTGTGTTCATAGATTAAGACTTAATAGTGTCGGGATTGCCATTGTGGACACATAGTAGGGAAAAATTCGGCTCAGATGTCCAGATGATAATACCACACACACTCAGAGGGTACGAAAAGGTTGATCATATAATGAGACTTTCTGGGGGAGATCAGGGTAGCACCCACACAGGTCTGAAAATGGCTTGAGAGGGCAGAGAAAGAAGAATGGCTTGGTTTTTTCTTTTTTTTTAAAGATTTTATTTATTTGACAGCGACACAGCGAGAGAGGGAACACAAGCAGGGCGAGTGGAGAGGGAGAAGCAGGCTTCCCGCGGAGCAGGGAGCCCGATGCGGGGCTGGATCCCAGGACCCTGGGATCGTGACCTGAGCTGAAGGCAGACGCCCAATGACTGAGCCACCCAGGTGCCCCACCTCAAGCTACTTTTAAGTGAAAGCTCCCCATGGTTCCACCAAGCAGAGGTCA